ATGTACAGCCTCTCATATACAGTATGACAAAATTGAATTGCAAATAAAATAAGATGATTATAGAAAAATGATCCACTGAAGATATAACAGATGTCACTTCACATCAACTGAACACACACACACAAGTAGTATAAATCTTAATGTAATTATGTACCGTTTATCTTTGTTACTGAAAACTTTGTGAATACCCAGTTCTCAAAATCATGTAACCACCGTAATAATATTAATGGTAAGGCACCTCCAGGACATCTACTTCACCCTGTCTAGCAACTGACAATCACACTGCTGGGAAAAAAAAAAAAAAAAAAAAAAAAAAAAAAAAAAAAAAAAAAAAAAAAAGACCCACACAGATTACAATTACTGTGCATTACAAGCATTTTCTCTTAACTGTTCTAGAGCCAACTCATTGACAAAATGATGTTTTCAAACCTTACACTGCAATGTTCTGTTGAAATACAACAGTCTGTGGCCAGCTTATGTCTCTGACTGGACACCATGTTATCAAATTTTTTCAAGAAGGCACTTTTCATATTACATACTGGATTGTATTTTATATGACATTATTAAACACAGATGACAAATTTAGGAGACATCAAAAGTTTTGAGACAAAGCTGGCATTCTGTGGCCTGCCAGCATGCCGGCACATCTTCTGAAACAAGCTTAGGTAAAGTGCCACATGTGAAAGTTTAGAATAATTTTACATTTGTACAGGTGGTGTTGAATGTTTTTTTTTTTTGTTTACATATAAATGTCTAAATATGATTCCTCTCTTTCGTATGGTAAATTAAAACATATTTGCATTATAATTTATGATATATCCACAATGATATCTATAATTTTTGCCGGAAGATCAGCAAGCCAGTCAGTCTTTAAATGTTTATAAAGATTTTGTAATTGGAAAAAATTTATTCTGGCATAAATAATGCTCCCAAATGATTACTGCTCTAATACATGATAGTAAGACAAATAATTACTATACACAATGAACTTGTTATAATTTTTCTAACAGATGGCAGTGTATATAATTTCTTTAATAATTACTTCTTTTTATTTTTTTGGCTGCTCTATACTGAAACAAACATCCAGCAATACTTCCCATTACTAATTACTACAAAATTCCCCAAAATTGCATGCTAGTCTTCTGGCAATTACTTGTGTGAAAAAAATCCCCACAAATTTGGGGATATGTGAAGTTGTTGTTGTGGGCAGCCTCACTTAGAGAACATAGTAGTCCTGAGGGGCTCTAGAGAGTGTGCTCACCCCAATATGGTATTCTAAGCTCCACTCATTCATGAAATGGGATTTTCAACATTCCAAAACATATTAAGATGAAAAACCCATGTTTAAAGAATGTTACGAGTCATTGATTCATATTGCATCATCCAAGCACAAAGAGGTAAAATAGGGTGTATATATTAATTCCCATAACACAATATAACTTGCAAATAAAAAGAGCAAAACTCGCTCTTCTCGCCAACATATCCAGTGTAAATAGTAATTTTCATAAGATACAAAAATATTGATCTATATCCAATATATGGAATACGTTTCAGCACATTCAAACGCAGAAATGATTAATTTAAGAAGATGCCTCGTTACATAATGTACTGCACCTCACCTCTTAGTCACAGCAAGCACATGACCGCCTTCACAATAGAAGAAGAGGCCGAGGTGAACAGTGAAAGTTAAGCACACTTTTGGGCAGCAGTTTACACAAGAGCCAGCACTCGTGAGGCTCTCCCAACTATTGGCCAGGCAACGAAGCTATTAACCCCAGAGTTACTTTTGTAAGTCAAGACATATCCATATAAATAAGGCTTCTCAATGATGATCTAAGTACCAATAGTTAAACAGTGATGACAGCATGTGAAAACCCCTGACAGTATTAGACTATTAGTACCACAACCTGTCCTCTCAAGCAATATGTCGTTATGGCATGTTATTGTAATCAAATGCAACGTACAGTACTAGGAAAAGTAGCAGGTCCCAAAAATTCACATTTTCTATACAATGATTGATTAGGTTAGGTGGGTGGCTTGAGTTCGTGCATTTCTGGTTAGGTTAGGATGTTTGATTTTGTATAGTGTGGCAAATCAAGAGAATGGGCTGAGCACCGGTACACTATAATATAAAGAGGTAGAAATATAATAAAGCTGTAAACTTTATTCACTGCCAAGAAGTACACTGTAAAGAATGAGCCCTGCACTTAGCTTCAACTGAAAATGAATCCTCAGAGGAACAAAAAAAAGATATTACAATAGTATAATGTAATTCACATTAGGACACAAACGCCAACACTTAAAACCTCTGGTTTCCTTACTCAACGTCACTACTGCTAATCCATCACGAAATGTGCCGAGTACTAAATCTTTCCCAAGAACTGGATCGAATACTTTGTCACACAAACCTCCATTACAATTTAAACCATTAATAAAAAAAAAATAAAGCAGCAGCTGTCCACAGTTGGCTCCATAATAGGTAGTTCTGTACACTAGTGTTATTGTAGTACTGTAGTTATTGTAGTACTGTAGTTATTGTAGTACTGTAGTTATGGTAGTACTGTACAGTAATGTACACCAATTATGAGACAAAGTTTGTTATGGTTCTAGTGTTGCAATGATCCTACTATTAGACAGCCATGATATAGTTCATAAAAACCTAACTTGCTGAACCATCTGTAGCATAAACAATACATTAATTGAAGAATTTCTCCCCAGATATTTACTGGCTTAACAAAATACACCTAACCTACATTATGATCGGTTATCTTTATTTTGTTGAAGTGTGTACAGTAATTACCTGGGTTGGAGGTGGCGATTCTTTAAATGATAAAACAAAATAAAAGAAGTATAATTACAAGACAATGAATTAATAATTTAGAGTAGGTAATATTTGAATATCAAGTGATGAAAAAAAAAAGTTACTGTATTGTTGCTGTTTAAGATTCAGCTACTTGGAACAAGAGTTCCAAGTAGCACAGACTATGGTGAGCCTGCAGTGGACTTACCTCCCATACCTAATTATGTAATTATGAAAAGGTGTTTGCCTATGCCAGCTACACAGTATCCTTCAAACAAAAGGGAGATTTGTATAACACTTAAGGCAAAATGAGATGCATATATAGTAAATGAAGAAATGAGGAGAGAGGCCATACAATTGTAATCATTAAAGAGTGCGTGGCAGCAGAGAGCAAGAGCACATGGCCATAGTTGAGCAAGGAGAGCAATACCTGTACAAGACTGCACTTGAAACCCTGCTAATTAGAGGCATCTGGTTATCAAACAGTTGAGATGCGGGACCAAAGAGCCAAATCTCAACCCCTGCAAGCACAACTAGGCGAGTAATTTGAGGCATCTGGTGTATTGGATATAGACAAGATATACTCTACCTCTCCTCTCTCTCTCTATTTTGTACACAATCTTTTCTTGTTATCTTGAGATGATTTCGGGGCGTAGTGTCCCCGCGGCCCGGTCCTCGACCAGGCCTCCTTTTTGTTACACACCCCAGGAAGCAGCCCGTAGCAGCTGTAACTCCCAGGTACCTATTTACCACTAGGTAACAGGGGCATCAGGGTGAAAGAAACATTTTGCCCATTTGTCTCTGCCTCCACCGGGGATCGAACCCGGGACCTCAAGACTACGAATCCTAAGCGCTGTCCACCCAGGCGTCAGGTGCCCCCATTGTTCATTTACTTCAAATATACTTTACAGTACAACTGAATAAGAAAATAATTAATATTAAAGGTCATATGCAATTAAAATATATGTATACTGTAAGTGATATATATAGTGGTCCACAATTCTAAGTAGTAAATGTGTTACAAAATCTACAGTATTTAATTGACAATAATTTGTTCACATCATTTTTCAAGAGGTTTAAAATTGATGCAAGTGTTAAGACTGTGCTGCGCAGGCAAGGCAAACTGCCTCAAGATGCACAACTTCAACCAGTAGCAATACGACACTTGCTTGGTTTTTTCATACTTACACAAATTTAGTTTCATTCGAGATAAATTAATGGGCAAGATAAATAAAATAAAAAGTTGTATCTTTCTCCTTACTTTGAGATAATACACTATATTATTAAAGACTTATTGTGCTAAATACAGTTGATCATACCATGCACGAGAAGTTAGTGCACCTCAGTGATGAAATGGTATGTTGTCAAAACTGAAACCATTCACAACATTCATGTGAAACCATTCACAACATTCGGGTGGCACCATTCACAACATTCGGGTGGCACCATTCACAACATTCGGGTGACACCATTCACAACATTCGGGTGACACCATTCACAACATTCAGATAGGTAGATAATGTTCTATGTTCAACCACTGCATCACAACAGAAATAACACCATTACTGCCTTGTTTTCAAACAGTATTTTTTAATTTTTTTTTGTTTGTTATCAGATATGACTACTTGTAATACTTTATTTCTAAACATTTTCATGATGGTTGCATATGACCTTTAAATCAAACAATGTTTTACCTAGTTTGAGAATCTCATAGTCTTAATTACAATAGAGGACTAGTCTCAAGAAGAATAGGCAATCAACTTGACTCATAACACAAAAGCAAGCAAGTAGAAATGAGAGTATAACATTATTCTGCTTCATGACAGTATGCCAATAGTTTTATGTATTTCTAACCTTTCGTATTGGGCACCGGTTTACCTAAGCACCATGAAGATGTAGCAAATTACATTAAAATGCATTATATTCAGCATTTAAAACTGACATTTCAAACTCCATACAGTTGTCCAACTGAAGGGAAGTGACCACTCGCACTACAGTATACAGTATTTGATGAGTACCTCATTTCCTTATTATTCAATCGTGCCTATGAGGATCATAGAGCATGTCACAAATTAATAAATTCTCTTGAAGTTTGACAAAAGATTTTCTAGGATTAAATTCTTTCTGGGCTACTACACACCACCAGGTTAAAAGACGAACCAGGCAATAGCCGAGTCTATGGGAGTTTCAGTGGTTCCAGTGGACGCAAGAAATCTGGCGGACGCAAGAAATCTGGCGGACGCAAGAAATCTGGCGGACGCAAGAAATCTGGCGGACGCAAGAAATCTGGTGGACGCAAGAAATCTGGTGGGCGCAAGAAATCTGGTGGGCGCAAGAAATCTGGCGGACGCAAGAAATCTGGCGGGCGCAAGAAATCTGGTGGGCGCAAGAAATCTGGCGGACGCAAGAAATCTGGCGGACGCAAGAAATCTGGTGGA